CTGTCTTTACATTTATTTTGAAAGATGAAGCTGGTGATTATGGTAAGGGGCGTTACATTTCCGACGAGTGCTTGCGGTGTTCGGCCAATCACAATGCACTGGGTCAGCTGGCCAATCAGAGCAGACTGCGCTTGTCGGAAGGAGGGACTTTGTAGAAAACGAAGCGTTTGAGAGAGGCGGGGCATTGAGGACCTACAATAATGTACAGTATTTGAAAAATAATGTGTTTTTTGAACATTAAAGCATGTCAACATATTCTGTTACACCAAATACACAAAATAATGATCTTTAAAAAAGCATCATATGACCCCTTTAAAGCAGGGCACCCTCCTGTATTCTTGACACACTCTGAGGTGTGCACGAGCGCATTTAGAGTATCTGTATCTGATTTCGTGTATGAATATAGAAGCCCTATGACTACAACTACCATCATTTGAATTGTCATAAAATTATGAAATTATCGTACATTATGGGATTTTTTACATTATTGATCGTACAGAGGTCAAAATTATCGTACAAATATGATAATTATCGTACGTCTGGCAACACTGATGTGGATATTGTGGATGAGTTCTTCTGTGTCATCACGTTCTATTAGTTCTACAGCTTCAGTTTCGTAACTTTCACGCTCAGTAACACGCTTAGTAACGCATACAGCTGTGCCCTCACCACAGTGCAACAGTGAAAAGGGACCCCTTTCAAACAGTGTCGCCCTCCGAACGTTGTTTTAAGCGACATACGTATTGCGGTATTTTAAAAATTCATATCATAACAAAAATAAACACCGGTATTCGGTATGAACCGGTATACCGCCCAGCACTATAAAGAAACAAACTCATCTACATCTTAAATGGCCTGAGGGTGAGTAGATTTTCAGCAAATTATCATTTTTGGGTGAACTATTCCTTTAAAGTGTATAAATTCAATAATAGATGTTGTCCCAGTTCAGTCTATCTCAGTTTAGATACTAAAACTCTTAGAAAGGCATTGCAATGGCACAGTTTCATAATTTTAGAGGATGACTTTAGACTTAATACATTCTGCTGTTATAGTATGCATGCATTGTAAATTGCTCAGACTGACAAGATGATTCAGTCAGTACCAGAGCTGATAGTGTCATTCAGACTTTGAGCTGTCCTTCAATACATCTGCACATGATGCTGATGCTGATGTCTGTGTCTCATCCACAGCTGGGGGATGGCGGTCAATGTTTATTCTACCTCAATCACCCAGGAGACGATGAGCAGGCATGACATCACAGCCTGGGTGAACGATCTGCTCTGTCTAAACTACACTAAAGTGGAGCAGCTGTCATCAGGTATGTGAACCTCCCAACTTAACCCACCGCTGACACTCATTAGACACAAAGAGCAGTAATCCCAGAGGATTTACACGGAGGCATTTTGTTAGCGCTCGTGTGCGCTGCTGTAGGACGGCTGCTACCTTTAAACATTTGTGTAAATAAATGCTGGCCAGTAAAGCTGTTGTAAATTCTCAGCTGCTTTAGGTAACACAGCCATGAATTATGAACCTGGGAATAGAGTTAATCACATTAAAAAAGTAATTAAACTAGAACTTCGTTATTGCAGTCAAAAGCAAGTATAGCTTTGAATCATCTAATAATAGGGTTTTTGAGTTTTGTTTCAGTTTGACATGCTGTATTTCATTGAAAACTATTTTAAACAATTTTAATTTAATTATTGTATAATCATTATACAATTATTATGCAATTTTATATGAGCATAATATGGAAAATGTATACTTAAAATTTTTTTCATACCACAGGGCTGTTTAAACGAACTGCAAGTATTACAAAAAATCTAAAATATTACATATTCCTTATAGCAAAAATGTTGCTGTTTGTCAACTACCCATTTAGTTTCAGTATTCTTTCATCAAGTTCTCTTACATTTGCATTTAATTTCATCTGAAATAAATAACTGCATTACTTTTGATCACTGCTGTTGATTAATCGTCGTTTAATTAGTTGTTTGAAATTCAATCAGGTAAAGTCCTCTTCATTCTTTTGCAACTATCCGAAGATCAGTTCAGTCCTTTGTGTGATTTCAGTATTCTTTCATCAAGTTCTCTTACATTTGCATTTAATTTCATCTGAAATAAATAACTGCATTACTTTTGATCACTGCTGTTGATTAATCGTCGTTTAATTAGTTGTTTGAAATTCAATCAGGTAAAGTCCTCTTCATTCTTTTGCAACTATCCGAAGATCAGTTCAGTCCTTTGTGTGATTTTAATTAGATGGGATTTTGCAGGATTTCAGAAGGATTGACAAGTTAATGATGAGAAAGGAATTATTTTAATGAATGGAATGGAATGAATAGGCTAATAAAGCCTAGTCCTTAAACTAAAAAGACTTTATAAAACAAATGGTAATGCGCACACAGCATTATTTGTATTTGTAAATATAGTCTTATGTATAAGTAGTTTATTATAGTTTAGGGAATATATCTTTACCAGGTCATTTAAATTGTGATTTAAAGGCATAGAAATGTACTAAATAAATAAATAATACTAAAATATTTAAAACGCATACTATTCAAGTAAATAATAATAGAATTATGAAAATGATTACATTTATTAAGATTTAATGTAAGAATAAATGTGTGTGTAAATATATATATATATACACACACACACACTCTCTCTCTCTCTCTCTCACACACACACACACACACACACACAAACTTTCTGCATTTTTAGATTTTCAAAAAAACTAATTCTGAATGATTTGTAAGCCTTTTGAATTACGGGGACACTGAAAATGTCCTCATAAATCACTTTCTCGTTGTAATACCTATGTCATACCCATGTTATTATACAAATTTGTGTCCTCATAAACCACATAAACATGCACACACACACACACACACACACACACACACACACGTCTGGTCAGCTATCCTTGTGGGAACTCTCCATAGGCGTAATGGTTTTTATACTGTACAAACTGTATATTCTATTGCCCTACACCTAAACCTACCCCTTACAGGAAACTTTCTGCATTTTTAGATTTTCAAAAAACTTCATTCTGTATGATTTATAAGCTTTTGTACCCGTGGGGACCACAATTTAGGTCCCCACCGTGACATGAGTCCCCATGAGTCTGTGTGTATTCAGGTTTAAGTCCCCACCAGAATAGAAAAACAGGTACACACACACACACAATTATATACATTTCCATTTATATATTCTTATTGTTATATTACTATTAATACGGAAACTTTCTGCATTTTTAGATTTTCAAAAAACTTCATTCTGTATGATTTATAAGCTTTTGTACCCGTGGGGACCACAATTTAGGTCCCCACCGTGACATGAGTCCCCATGAGTCTGTGTGTATTCAGGTTTAAGTCCCCACCAGAATAGAAAAACAGGTACACACACACACACACACACACAATTATATACATTTCCATTTATATATTCTTATTGTTATATTACTATTAATACTTTTTTTTGTAGTCAAATATGTAGCTCTACTATAAAATAATTAATTCAGTCTGTTGAAGACTGTATGTGTTGCTAATTTCTACCTAAACATACCGGCTTGTACAGTTAGAGACAAAAATTAATCTTCAAAGATCTGCATTAAAATCTCAGGGTTTATAAGTATTATGTTTTGAGAGCAGTTTTCTTTCCAGTAATCATGGAACTTCGTCATTTAGGTACGGTGCTTTAGCATGACATCACATCAGTACCTTCATTTAGTTCAGCATAAGCACAGGTCAGGCCAGAGGTATTTAAAGATCTCCGAGACTCTGAATATCCTCTGGAAAAGCTCCTGCTTTACCTAGACAGGCAGAAGACATTGATATACGTGGCTTTTTAAATGACATCCTTGGAGTCAAATGGATCACCCTTTAAGTGCCCTTGTTTTATTTCTTCTGATTGGGCAGATTAAGTTTACTGCAGAGTAAATTGGACACTTAGATGAACCTGAGACTGAAACTAAATCTGGTTGAAAGTGTTGGAGAGACAGAAAGAGTTCACAAAACCTTTTTGACCCAGCGTATCGTTTGTGCATCTCTTTTCAGGAGCAGCGTACTGTCAGTTCATGGACATGCTGTTTCCCGGCTGCATCAGTCTTAAGAAGGTGAAATTCCAGGCCAAGCTGGAGCATGAATATATCCACAACTTCAAACTCCTGCAGGCCTCCTTCAAGAGGATGAACGTTGATAAGGTGAGACGAACATGAGAGCCTTGCAGTCATGCTTTCACTATAACCACTGAAAATCTGGTTAGAAATAAAATCCCTCTCAAAATCACCATAGAGAAGTACATTTTAGCATGAAAAACAGTAGTGGATTTGTGTGATAAGAAAATACATAAAAGATTTCATAACCCCAGACTGATTTAATTCTATTATTCACAGGCTTTATGAGTAGTTGTTATCCCACTGTGCCTTACTGAACACACACTGCTAAAACAGGGTTTAAATATTTATGGCTGCTTTACAGTTCCCTGTGTAATTATAATGCATGTATTATTTCCACCCTTGAAAAGAAATTGCTTGTAAAATTCACTAATAATTACAAATAAATGGCAAGTGACACATTAAATTAAATGTGAAATTTTGAAATGGAAAAAGTGAAATAGTATTTTCTTACAATATTATTTGTTTTATTTACAAAGAAAAATATTTGTACAGTGCAGCTGTCATTGCCTTCTTTACAACAAAATCTTAACATTAGATGAGAAAAAAAAATCACAATTTGTGTGAAAAAATGTATAATAAATAATAATGGTAATTAAAAATAATTTAAATTTGTTAAAATAATAAATGTTAATATTAAATATTTATTATATATAAATAAAAAAAATTTATATTGAAAATGTTGCCTCTACTTTTGAGCCTCGTTATTCACTCAGTGCTGTCGTTTTATAAAAAATTCCAGACTTTTTTCTGCTTAAAAGCATGCACTTGTAAAACAAGGAATAACAGTGCTGTTTTATAATGCTTGAATTGATATAACCCATTATTTTTCTTAAAAACTGTAAGCGATTTCAGCCAATTTTCCACCACACACCCTCAAATCAAAACTCAGTCAGCAAACCTGACATCAATAAATCCAAATGTGCAAAATGATTGACATACAGAAAGTGTTTCTGATTCTCTAAAATAAGCGTGATCGAGCCACAATATATATATTTTTAATATTTACATAAGCATGCAATAAAAAAAAAATCACACTTCAAATAATCATTTATGTTAATTAATGCTGGGATTCACAAACTTTTTTTTGTCAGCTAAACCTCTTTGACCTAAAATATTTACTTGAGACTTTAAATTAATATTTCAATAATTGAATAACACATTCAGGTGTTTGCAGGTAATAAAATAAAATAGAAAAAAAAAATTATTTTTAAATTTTACATTTTTATGGTTTAATTATTAGCACAAATCAGATGTTTTGTGAACACCTAATTTAACATATAAATCTGTATTTGTTATGGAAAGTTATCTGTGTAATGTAATTTTTTTCACATTTACATCCTGTTTGCTTCCCTCTTAGATCATCCCTGTAGAGAAGCTCGTCAAGGGACGGTTTCAAGACAACCTGGACTTCATTCAGTGGTTCAAGAAGTTCTTTGACGCCAACTACGACGGGAAGGAGTACGACCCGGTCCAGGCCAGACAGGGCCAGGACGCCATTCCCCCTCCAGATCCCGGCGAGCAGATCTTCAACCTGCCGAAGAAATCCCAGCATGCCATCAGCTCTCCCACCGCAGGTCTGTTAGAGGCGGGCTGCTTGTGACATCATTTCTTAATATTCATCATTAATCAACTGGCATTTAGCATCTACTAAATTGCATCATGGCATCTGTTAACTTGTGTGCAGGAGCTACTAGATCAACCAGTTCAACCCCTAAATCCTCCACCTCCACCTCCACCTCCCGACCCTCCTCTGCCAAAAAGATCCCTGTGATGTCAGCAACACCTGCTAAAGGAGAGAAGGAGCTGGAAGCCCAAGTAACGCAACTAAATGAACAGGTGGACATCCCTAACGCTATTAACGCTAATAAAATCCTTAAATAAAGCAGCCAAGAACATAATTGTTAGAAATGCTGATTGAGACCTTGAGATAAGATGCTATTTTAGTAGATCATTTTTGAAGACCAGGGTTTCTGCAGGTCTTAAAAAGTCTTAATTTGCCCTTCCACAAATTAAGGCCTTAAAAGGTCTTAAATTGGAGCAGAAAGTCTTAAATTAATAAAGTTATGGAATTAAATGCAAAAAAAAAAATATATATATATATATACACACAATTTTTTTTGTCAGTATTTTTGTCTTGTTTTCTAATACAAATATCTAAACATCCTTAAATCACGATAGCAAGATACATTTACTTGAAATGCAAAATTAAGATATGAAGTCTTGGTTTTTGAGAAATTGAACATAATTGAGTGAGTTTCATAATTGAAAACTTGTTATATGAAAAGTTGTATTCCCTTTGAAATAAGTTGATTTGATCAGATATTTGTCCTTTTTTTAAAAATCATAAATTCACTTCATTTTGATGAATTTCTCAGAAAACAAGACAAAATATTAGTATTGTAATTTTATGGTTGTAATCAAATTATTATTGTTTATATATATATATATATATATTATATTTAGTACAACATTTTATTTAGTAGTAGTAATAATAATAGACATAGTCTAACATATATGTCTATATGTTAGACATAATGTTTGAGAATTGTAGCCATATAACAGTTTTTTATTAAAGTGCCTCTATTATGCCTTTTCGAATATTACCTTTCATGCAGTGTGTCATGTAGCTGTATGTGAACATGCAAAGTTGTGAAGCCGACAGTGCTCGATAAATAAAGTTATTGTCTATCAAAAAAAAGAGTCGGCTCGCAATCGCCTAAACGAGTGGTCAGGAATTTGTGTCACGGCTCTAGTCTAGGGCTGGGCGACATAGCTAAAAAATGTATAGACGATATAATGTTTCATATTGTTCGGTATTGATAATTATTGACATTTTTATAACCTTTTTTTAAAACAAAGAGCAATAAAAAAAAAATTACATTTAACCACTGTATTTTTAAATGAACTCTTTTAAATGAACAACTTTTGTTGTTGTTGTTTTAACAGTCAAACACAAAATAAAAATTAAACAAATATTTCATTTCTGATGTTTTACATGCAGATTAGTTTAAACAATGCTTTAAAAAGTGTAGTCTTCACAGATCCTGAGCACATGCCAAATTTGCGAATCAACATATTGGCCTGGGCATACAGCGTACAGCACTGTCTGTAAATATCCCTATCATCAGACATGTCATCAGTTATATAATGCCGTAAGTATTTAACCTCATTACATACCTTAAGGACACTCCCAGACAGAGAGA